GGACTTCCATCCCTGTGGCTGGCTGTGTAGCCCAGCTCTCCTCAGTGGTGACATTTGGCACAACTGAGTGCTTCCTGTTGGCTTCCATGGCTTATGATCGCTATGTGGCCATCTGCTCACCCCTGCTCTACTCCAGCCTCATGTCCCCCTCTGTCTGCATTCTCCTAGTGGGGGCTTCCTATCTGGGAGGATGTGTGAATGCTTGGACATTCACTGGCTGTTTGTTAAATCTATCCTTCTGTGGACCAAATAAAGTCAATCACTTTTTCTGTGATTATTCTCCTCTGCTGAAGCTTTCCTGTGCTCATGGTTATGCTTCTGAAATAGTTCCTGCCATGTCTTCAGGCTCCATCATTGCCGTCACTGTGTTCATCATTGCCCTGTCTTATGTCTACATCCTTGTGTCGATCCTGAAGATGCGCTCCACGGAAGGCCGCCACAAGGCCTTCTCCACCTGCACCTCCCACCTCACTGCTGTCACCCTATTCTTTGGGACTATTACATTCATCTATGTGATGCCCAAGTCCAGCTACTCCACTGACCAGAACAAGGTGATATCTGTGATCTATACAGTAGTGATTCCCATGCTGAATCCCCTCATCTACAGCCTCAGGAACAAGGATGTTAAAGATGCCATGAAAAAATTATTGGTTAGAGCTCATTGGTAGTTCTGAAATGCCTCACTTTAATCATAAGCTGAATATAATAAGTATTTGACTCATGTGAAATCTTGACCTGAGTTTTTTGCCACAGGTTTCCTATGACCTATTCTGATTCCCAAACACCAGCAACTCTTCATTTATTTCTCAGGATATTAATATTGCATAAAATTCATCATCAAACTTCATCATGCTTGTGTCTTGCCCTCTACATGAATTTATTCATTTGCATAGTTACAGAGAAACTGAAGAGTTGGATTTAACTAAGATTAAGATTCTGTCAGGTGTTAGGCACCGATGGCCCATGCCTGTATCGCTAGCTTCTCAGGAGGCTGAGATATGAGGGTTGTTATTTGAAGCCAGCCTGGGGAAGGAAAAGTCTGTGAAAATCTTATATACAATTACCCATCAAAAAGCCAGTCCTAAGTTGTAAAGCACCAGTACTTGAACTAAGGAAGACTGCCCAGGCCTTGAGTTCAAGAAAAAGGAAAAGAAAGGATTCTGCCAGAGGATAAAGATAAAAGGAAAGAATAAGGGGTTTGGAAGTATATGGGAATGATCATTATGATTGAGTGTGAAATTTAGTCTTATACATAGGAATGTAGAAACATAAAAAGAATGGTAAGTAGACAGTGGGATCAATATATTTCTGTATGTGATTAAATAATAATTTTTTAACTGGGGTCGCTAAAGCTATGAATTCAGTTTCTTTTTATTTATTTATTTATTATTGTGAAAATACCATACAGAGGTGTTACAATTACATGGGCAAGGTAATGAGTACATTTCCTATCAAGCATTGTTGCCTCCTCCTTTATTTCCCCTTCCCATCCCTTCCCATCTCCCACCCCCCTCCCTATCCCTCCATCCCTAAGCCACCCCCTCACCCCCAACCCCTATTGCCAAAGTTGTAAAGTTTGTTTTTCAATATAACGACTTGTATATCTCATTGTTGCAATGGGTCAACCTGTATCCCTATTTAAACAATTTGTTTTTTCCCTTTCCCTCCACAAATTATACCAACATCAAATACAGTGAAAGCAGGGATTATACCATAGGAGAGGCACATTCAAAGCATCAAAGAAATCATCTTATAAATACATTAGAAACAATCGCAAGAAAGAAAAGTCATTTGAATACTTATCTTGGGGTTCATTTACCTACCTGAATTCAGTTTCTTACAGATGTCCCAAATTAAATGTTTTATTAGGTACTCACTCCATTCTAATTTGTTTTTAGTACTCTCATTCTATGCTTGACTGAACCTTAGGTTCCTTTGATATCTGAGAGACAGATGAACACTGAGATGGAGAATAAAGGCTCATTATTCATCCATCCATCCATTATCTAATATACATGAACTAAGCATAAACAATGATATAAAGGGATAGATGTTAGGGAAGTGATTGACTATAACCTGGTGTTCAAAGGGATGACATAAAAGAATGAGTGGGAAAAAATATAAGCACTGAAATGTAGATATCCAGACAACACTATGGAGGCACTAATGATGAATGATCTTGTCTGAAAAGCAATCCTATTAGCAGACTCCAAGCATTCTGTAGAGGTCTTGAGTGGGGTATTTTCCACTTGCATCTCTAGGTTAATTCTTCTTTAGACTGCCCCTCACCAAAATTGATGTGTATACCACCATGGCAGAGTGTCCAAACTGTCAGCAGAATATTTCAGTGAGATCCTACCATGATTCCATTCTCCACAGGTCCAAGTAGTCATCTGATAACAAGCTGATCTAGCCTGTTGATTGCTAGATATGACATCAACTGAGAGATGACAGTTGCATGTTGTATGAGTTGTTGTTCTACAGAATTATAAATATATCTTGAACAAAGCTCAACCAAAGTTCATGGTTTCAGGTTCCAAAGGGTAGAGGAAGGAGTGGATTGTTTAAAACTAAATAATGAAATATAGTAATTTTCTATTGGTGCTTTAATAGTCTAGTATAATTCAATGACTTGTAATAATAGTAACATATTACCTTATTGTTCTGGAGATACAAAATTCAATAGATCTTACTAGGATAAAATCAAGGCATTCGCAAGGTGGGTTCCTTCTGGGGACTTTAGGAGAGAAGACCTTTCCTTGCCTTTTCAAGACTTTAAAGCCAACAATGTTGATTGGTTTGAGTTTTTCTTTATTTTCAAACCCAGAAAAGTCATCTTCTTTTGATTGACACTTTCCATCAGCCTCTTCCACTTTTAAGGGCACTGTGATTATATTGGGTCCATGTAGATAATATATATTTTTCAGTTGAATGGAAATCATAATCTCATCTGTAAACTTAATCCCTGTCTCCTAGTAAAGTAGCACGTTTTCAGTTAATGGACATAGTTGGAAATCTTTGGAGAGAGATATAATTATGATTATCAATTTCACTAAAGGACATTTTACGTGTGTGTGCACGCACGTGCGTGCACTATACCAATCCTGGGTGCTTTAACTCAGGGTCTGGACACTGTCCCTGACCTTTTTTGCTCTACCACTTGAGCCACAGCTTGACTTCTGGATTCTCAGTGGCTAATTGGAGATAAGACTTTCATGGCCTTTCCTACCCCCGGCTGGCTTCAACTCGCAACCTCACAACTCAGTCTGCTGAGTAGCTAAGATGATAGGTGTGATCCAAGTCATGCCTGGCAGGACATTTTACCTTCTAGAGATTGTGATTTTTGTCTATTTATTTCTGCCACTTATTAGTAATTAAAGATAAGCAATAGTTACGCATTTTACTTAAAATTTATTCAACATAAAATGCACAAATCTTAAGTGCATAAGTTTTAACTCCTAAAAAACCTGTAGACACCTATGTTTGTCAGGCATCTACCATGATGAAGAATATTACTATCCACTGAGAAATTTCCCTAAAGTTTTTCTAGTTCTATTTGCTCAATCACATCCTACAGAGACAGGCATTAATTCAATTTTCCACTACGAGTCAGTCAGTGTGTCTTTTTTATGGTAGCACTTCTCTCAGCCAGCATATTTTTAAAATTTATATTTTCATTATCTTTAAGTACTTATACATAGGAGTTGCCATTTAACAAGCAGTTTATGAATACAATGCATCTTGATCAAATGCCACTCTTCCATTATTCTCTTCTTGCTCTTTTCTACCTACCCCTTCCTTCACTCTTCCTAATTTTTTTAGGATATATATTGGACTGAACTATATTCTCCTCTTCTTTTCCTCTTCATGTGCCTACCCTTTATCCCTTGGTTCCACCCCCCCCCCCTTCAAGTACCCACTTCTCGGTGTTTTATTTAGCTGAATGTTGACTTTGCCTTTCTATTTGAGTTCTCCTTTGAACCTATTGTATTTCAGTTAATATATTTGTATGTACATGCAAACCACCCAACATGTTTACTTATTAATTTATAAGCTAAATTTAGGTTCCACATATAAGGGAAACCTGTATACTTTATCTCTCTGGTCCTGGCTTTTGAAATCAGTACAAATTGTGATATGCTTTGATAACTTACTACCTTTTGTGGCTGAATTGTATTTCATTCTGTGAATATAACCTGAGTGTGTTGCCATCCTTTGATGAATGAAAATTTATTTTGTGACTAAAAGCAAAGCTGGCATTAGAGTAGAGATGAATGAAAAAAATCAGCAAAGAATGTCAATAAACCTGAAGGTGTTTCTTTGAGATGACCAACAAAAATGTCTAAATCTAAAGCTAGATTTGTGTGTGTGCTTTATCCTTTTCTTAATTGCAACAATCTTCCCCCCTCTACTATTTTTTTCTTTCATCCTTTCTTCTTTTTCAGAATATGTTTTTCTTTTGAGAAGGGAACTGATGTTATGACAATATAATGTTTCAAAATCGGGGCTGGGAAAGGTGGCTCAGTGGTAGAGTGCTTGCCATTCATGCAAGAGGCCCTGGGTTCGATTCCTTAGCACCCCATAAGCAAAAAGAAAAAAAGCTGGAAGTGGTGCTGTGGCTCAGGTGGTAGAGCACTATCCTTGAGCTGAAGAGCTGAGGGACAGCCCCCAGGCCCAGAATTCAGGCCTCACGACCGGACCCAAAAAATTAATAAAAAATAATGTTTCAAAATCATGTTTTGATATGTTTATTATATACATTTATACGTGAGCTTCTGTACTGATGTACATGCATATACATGTAGATATGCAAATGGATTCATAGTGACATTTCATCTGGGTTTGTGACAGAAAAAGAGTGGGATTAGGATGTATAAGGCAATGGGAAAGCACTAATTGAACGCCAAGTCATGATTTTTATTGAAAGTCCTTCATTTTTCCACATTTATTTAACAACACTGTGAATTTTTTTTTAAAAATGATCTAGGCTCTTTTATTTACTATCTAAGGGGAGGAAACCTATTTACACTGCCCAGGACTTTCCTGAGTGCTGTCTGCATTTCTTTGTTTCGTAGACTGTAAACAATGGGGTTAAGCAGAGGCGTCAGCACGGTATATGTGACAGCCATTAGTGTATCTCCCCTGAATGAGTTACTATTCTTGGGCCTCAGATAGATAAAGCAAGCAAATCCATAATGGATGAACACCACGGTCAAGTGAGAAGAACAAGTTGAGAATGTCTTATACCTTCCCTTGGTAGATGGCATCTTCATGACAATGGCCACAATGAAGACATAAGAAGTCATAATGAGAATGAAGCTTCCCACTAACACAAAGACAGTAAAGGCAAGGAGAATAATCTTCTGAAAAGAAGTGTTATTACAGGCCAGGGAGACCACAGGTGCGATATCACAGAAAAAGTGCTGAATGATGTTGGAATTACAAAAAGACAAATTGAATACAATGAGGACGATGCAAAAAGAAACAAAGAACCCAACCACACAAGAAGCCGCCATGAGCTGGGAGCAGATCTTCTTTGACATCAGGATGGGGTACTTCAGGGGCTTGTGGATGGCAGTGTAACGGTCATAGGACATAGCAGACAGGATGAAACAGTTGTTTCCCGCAAAGCCAAAGAAGAAAAACATCTGTGTGGCACACTCAGGGAGAGAAATGGTCTTGCTCTCTGAGAACAAGTCCACTAATGTGCGAGGCAGAATTACCATCGTGGTGCAGGATTCTGACAAGGACAGGCCAAACAAGAAAAAGTACATGGGGGTGTGAAGGTTGTGGCTGAGCTTGATGGCTACCATTATGGACACATTTGCCACTAAGATGGTCAGATGGGAGATGAAAATCACAACAAAGAGTAGATCCTGCAGTTCTGGGAAGCCGGAAAATCCCCAGAGAAGGAATGTGCTCACTGTGGTAAGATTGTCCATTCCCCTGGTGGAACAAATTCACCACACAGGTGTAGATGTGTTTGAGGTTATGCTGAAATGATTGCAAAGTTGTGTGACATCAGACTTAGTGTAATGCAGGGCTCCTGGGCCAGGGCAAGCCAAGTCTTAAAGAGAATCCTGCAAAGGGAAAGTCCAATGTGTTTCTGTAGTCACTGTCAGAACGAAGAATGGCAAGGAGAAAGATTCTAGTAGATGAATTTGTAAATGACACATGGAGATTCAAATATCTTTTGGAAACTTTTTACTTGGTACCCTTTTATCTCCTCTATCTGCCTTATGAGAGAGAGAAATGTGGCAAAAGTACGTGGCTTCTGACCCACAGGAATATAACTAATAACCAACAAAATCTGGCATACAGAAGGGCTTTACAATGTTGACTGACTCTCTAACAATTGAAAGAGATCTGGGAAAGTTTTCATATAATTTCTAAACACTCTTTCAAAATCATTTTATAAAAATCAAACAAGTGGTAGATGCAGGTGACTCACACCTGTAATCCTAGCTATTCTTACCATCCCAGGCAGGAAAGTCTATGATAATTTTATTTCCAATTAACCACCAATAAGATTGAATTAGAGTTGTGGCTCAAGTGACAGTGTACCAGCCTTGAACAAAAAAGCTAAAGGACAGCACTTAGGCCCTGAGTTCATTCCTCAGTACTAGCACACACACAGAAATCAAATAAATAACAACAAAATATCATGTTATGTGGTTGAGTGTAACAATTGTATGACTGAATGTTGTATCAATAAACAGATCTTGTAAGTAAAATTTATACTGGATTCAAATATAAAACAACCACAGAAATCTTTCCTGTCTAAATGTAGCCTAAGTCTGAGGTTCATGGAGAGATTAATCTAGTCTCAGATTATAGACTTGTGTCTTGATGTCCTTATTAATTCTTGAGTGTTCAGGAAAACTTTCAGACTATTTACTAATTAATGTTACTAGTGGTAAAGGGTGCTTTGAAGCAGAGCTGTGATAAGAATTAACTTAAGTCATATTTATATTTCCATCAAGTCCTAATGTACTTACTTTGTGAGATAGCACAAAAATAACTAGAATATTTTGCATACAATATGTAGTTCAAGCTCAAGCATATTGGAAGACTCTGTAGGAAGGAAGGAAGGAAGGAAGGAAGGAAAGAAGGAAGGGAGGGAGAAAGGAAGGAAGGAAGGAAGGAAGGAAGGGAGGGAGGAAGGAAAGAAGGAAGGAAGGAGGGAGGAATAAGAGAGAAAAGAAAAAGAGAAGTGAAAGAAGGAAGAAAGGACAGAAAAAGAAAGGAGCAAGAAAGAGAGCAAGGAAAGAAAGTAGAAAAGGAAGAAGGAATAAAAGAATATATACTTTTAATTGAATAATTGTCTTTTTAACTATTGAATTTCTGGAAATAGAATGTAAAATAAAATAAGCTATGCCATCAATAATTTACTCAACCTCTAAAATGTGCTGGCAAGTGTGCTATGCCTCCGATAGGAGTTTTCACATAATTTCTTCTAACAATTCTATGTGGTGCTTCAATTCTGATACTACAAAATTAAAACTAAGTTACACAAATTTCGTAAATAAAGGTAAAGACTGATGCATGAATTCTACTAATATTTACTCAATATTTGTGACATGTCAGGCACTTCTACATATAGGAATTATGACATAGAATGAGACACAGGTGAGCTGTTCAGCCTCTTTGGGCTACATCAGTTCTATACACCAAAAAGAATCAAATTAATTTTCCTGGAAAGTTCATATTTCAGACTTCCCTAGTCTCCCCTTCAGTGAGTTCTAACAGATTGAATGTGACACATTCTTTGAGATAGCAACAAAACCTGCAGGACTTTGAGGCTACTTCTTTTCTAGAAAATTGTTTTTTATTGTGAAAATATTGTACAGAGGGGTTACAATCACATGAGCAAGGTAATGAGTACATTTCTTATCAAGCATTGTTGCCTCCTCCTTTGTTTTCCCCCTATCATCCCTTCCACATAACCCCAGTTTTCACTGTATTTGATGCTTGCATAATTTGGGAAGTGGAAGGGAAAAAATAAATTGTTTAATTAGGGATACAGGTTGACCCATTGCAACAATGAGATGTACAAGACACTATGTCGAAAAATGAACTTTACAATTCAGGCCAGGGGGCGGGGCGGGGGAGAGGGAAGAGGAAATGTAGTTGAGGCTACTTCTTGCTTAATCACTTCACAGACTTTCTTATCCTCTCTATATGAAAAGTCACAGTATTGATTATGAATCTACCACCAAGAGACCACAAAAAACGTGGTCATCTTGGGTCTATAGTCTCTGTGACACTGAGCTAGAGAAATTTTCTGGCAACTTCCCTGCTCACTGGATGAAGTTTTCTGTTAGAAAAATGGTAACTATTCATTGACAGGTCTTTGGTAAAGTGTACTTAACTTTCTATCAACTTAATCAGATGGTTCAGATGGTTTTTAAGAGTATTTGGAATAGTTGATATTTTAATTGTCTGGGAGATAAAGGGGTATGCTCAATACTGACCTTTGATCATGATCCTCTTAACTCAGCCTCCATGTGCCACCATACCTGACTTGTGTTTTGAAATAAGGCCTTGTTGATGTATGGTGTTGTTTTTGTCCAGACAAGTCTTGAACCATTATCCTCCCATTTCTACCTCCTGTGTACTCTCAGGTAGTTACAAGTATGCACCACCATGTTCAACCTTGATAAATTCTTTGATATTATTAAATCTCCTAACTAGACTTAATTATACATGGAACTCAAGTATGCATTCAAATATTAATTCTACTTCTATTGTTGTAAGGGAGAGTAAATGTACAAGCCATTTCTTCTCCCTTACAACTATTTTCCTCCTTGTAACTAGATATACTTTTAGCACAGACAGGGTTAAGATGTTGTGCATGCACACCTGACAGATAACAAGTGTTCAGTAGTTACTGATTCCATTCCTACTTGTTAAAACACCACATGGTTTAAAGACAACTTATCAATACTTACTTGACCGTCATAAAATATCTGCAGCATTGTAACAGATTCTGACTGATGCTCAAGCTGATCCCTATTGGAATACTTCACTTTAGCCTAAAGTTTGAAGTCTTTTTTTTTTTGTTTGTTTGGAGCATTTCTCTACCTCCCTCTCATTGCTGTCTGTATGACAGTCATCCAAGAAATAAGAAAATCACAAAGAACATATCTTCAGTTCAATGGTGCCTTTAACATCCTCAGTATATTAACTCTGTGAATACCCACAAGAAATTGGCTATTAGTGCATATAGAAAAATACTTATGTAATTAAAAATATAAGATAAAAATCTCACTTTATATCAAAGAGGAATCAAATTCCAACTTGTAAAATAAGAAAAAATAAAGCTGGCAGGAAGAGCTTACAAAAAAACAGTTTCCTGCAGTAGTTTCTGTTGATAACATTTAGAGATACAGTTTAAAGTCATTTATTCCTATGGATGTCTGAAGACACCAATTCTCTTATGACAATAGGGAAGTATATTGTCTATTCCTGTGTCTGAAGCTGAGTTTGATGCACTCCCAATGAGAGTTTCAAGGCCACCAGAGACCATCACCCCTTGACATTACTTAGGGTTTCTTCCTCCTCAGCAAGAGAATTGTCCTCTGTGGACATAGAACTCTTTGTAATGTTCAAAAGTCACTAATTTTAGTGGAGCATACATTGAGATCTAGTAGCAATATGTTTAGAAAAAGGATGGCGCCCTCAATATCAATCATGTTATATTTCTGAAAGTTGCAGAAAAGGTCATGAGCCTGATATGCTGTATACAGAACTTTAAAAAAAAAAACAACTCAGGATCTTTCCTATGAAGTTGGATCCCAGAAAGTTAGCCAGAACAAAGTTGAGAAAGAAAATCAGCTCATAAAAATGTTATAATTGCTTTTTCATATGATAATTCTTTTTTTTTAAATTTTATTTTATTTTATTTGAGAACATACTGTACAGAGGGGTTACAATTACATGGGTAGGATAATGCATACATTTCTTACCAAGCATTGCAGCCTCCTCCTTTGTTTACCCTTCACCTCCCTTCCCAGCCTTCCCCCTCCCCCCCCACCCAATCATACCCCCCCCTCCCCCCCCACCCAATCATACCCCCCCTCCCCCCCCCCCCAACACCGACATTGTAAAGCTGGTTTTGACATGACATTTTGACATGACATTTCTCATTGTTGTAACAGGTCCACCTGAATCCTTAAACGACTTGTTTGTCCCCATCTCCTCCACATGTTATACTGACATCAAATATAGTGAAAGCGGGGGTTACACTGTGGGGGAGGGACATACAAAGCAACAAAGAAATAATCTTATAAATGCGTTAGAAACACATGCATGAAAGAAACAAAAACATTAAAATACATATTTAAGGGTTCATTTTCCTAACAACACATTATCTGACCTTTTCCGCTTGACTCATACCTATACTAGATATTGCAAATAAGGGAAACCATGGGACCTATGTTTCTTTGGGCCTGGCTTACTTCACTTAATATAATTTTTTCCAAGCCTTTCCATTTCCTAACAAATGGGGGAATGTCATTCTTTCTGATGGAGGCATAGAATTCCATTGTGTATATATACCACTTTTTCTTGATCCATTCATCTACTGAGGGGCATCTGGGTTGGTTCCATATCTTAGCTATTGTAAATAATGCTGCAATAAACATAGTTGTGCTGGAAGCTTTAGTGTGGCCTTGTTTGTAAACATTAGGGTAAATGCCCAAAAGTGGGATTGCTGGGTCATAGGGGAGTTCTATGTGAAGTCTTTTGAGGAACCTCCATACTGCTTTCCAAAGTGGTTGAACAAGTTTACATTCCCCACCAACAATGAAGTAAGGTTCCTTTCTGTCCACATCCCCTCCAGCATCTGTTGTTGTTAGAGTTCTTGATTTTTGCGGTTCTAACTGGAGTGAGGTGATATCTCAATGTTGTTTTGATTTGCATTTCTTTTATGGCTAGGGAT